TTTTTAAGGTTCAACAAAATCCATTAATCTAATTTAGAGTTATATGGGATTTCAAATTACTACCTTTACTTTTCATTTAACCAAATCCTGTGGTTCTTATAGGGAGGTTGTGAAATTGCAAGAGAGAGACAGTACTTAAATGGACTTCTTTATGAAGGTCTAAAATACATTTGAGAATTGCTGATCTGTAGTTTAATATCCTGGACCCATATATAAAAAAGTTACTGTATTGGCTCAAATCCAATACAAGGTTTTTCCCCCCCATTTAGCATTGAGGGGGGAAAGCCTCATCTTGGATTTGAATATAGCTTGGGGCAGGTGGTGGCTCAGCTCTGGCTTTGGCCCTGGCGTTGGGGCTGAAGCCAGAGGTGAGCCAGAGCCTGTCCTAGACTGGAATGACTCATTTGGCAGGGGAGGGGCCAATCAGCCCAGGGAGCATGGGATAGGACACAGGGCAGGGGGGAAACCTGCAGTCTTTGTGCCTGTGCAAGTGCTAGTGCCAGTGCCTGCCTCCCCCAACCCCTTCAGCATCCGTCTTACCTTCTGCTCTAGCTCCAGTCCATCTAGCTTAGACCCAGCCCAAATGGGAGCTGCTGCCACTTCTCCCTGGCCAGACTGGGCTGGAGCTGCTACCGTTGCTGCTGACTGCCCCAGGAGGGGCAGGAACAGGGGAGCAAGAGGTGGAGGAGGCAGGTTGCAGAGGGGAGCAGGGGATGGGAATAGATAAGGGGGCAGGCACTGGCACAGGGGAATAAGGAGCAGAGGAGCAGCGGGTAAGGGTCTGGCCGTTTGCCCCCTGCCACTGCTTTCCCCACCACAGCCATGGGTGGGACAAATTTAGGATGACCTTCTGCTAATTAGATTCTATACCTGGAAAATTATAACAAATTTATAATTTTCCAGGTATAGAATCTAATTATTGGGGGGTTGTCTTGGATTTGGATAAATACAATACAGTATAACTTCATGAACCTGGCAGACTTGGGACCGAGCACCTGTCAGAAATGTGAGAATTCTGGATTTTTAAAACCTGAGCGGCAGCCAGTGCTGGAGCTGGGGGGTGGGGCGTGCAACAGTAGTGGTGGCCAGTCCTGGAGCAGTGGCACAGGGTGCTGGATGGTGACTGCAGCTGCTGCATGCAAGCCTCTGCCTGCACTGCTCTGGGACCCGCCACCACCAGTCCTCAGTGGAGTGTAATTTTAAAAAGGGCCAGATTTTCAATAATTCTGGATTTTTTTTATATCCAGTTTTATGAGGTTATACTGTATTTCCTTTGGTAGAAAGTTACTTTACACATTAGAAACACTTGATTATTGTCTAAATTTCAAATTATACCAAAGTTTTAAAATCCATATGGAACTTAAAGATGCTTTCATATCAAAGGAAAACTTCCCCTAGAGCAGGGGCAGGCATTTATTTCAGGTGGAGGAATGCTTACTGAGTTTTGGCAAGCCATTGAGGGCTGCATGATAGGCAGCCAGGGGCAGATAAATATTACTTTTCTAAATTTTTTAGGGGCTCTGCGGGCCAGATATAATGGCCTGGCATGCCACATCCAGCCCGTGGGCCGCATTTTGCCCACCCCTGCCCTAGAGCAATGATTCTCAACCAGGGTGTTGCATGATTCTTTTAAGGATGCTATGGGGTACTGCACAGTTTAGCACTGCACTGTGTGCAGACAGCTACACATGATTTGCAAGATAACTTCAGTGACTTCAAGTAGGAATCCTTAGAGTTCAAAAGACTTCTGAGCTTTTGTGGCCTTTCTGAGTTCTTTGCAACAAAAGGATTGCTTTATTATTTTTCTTTAGTCAAAAGATGAGTGAAATTTTAGAGTGGGCACTTCCTGAGGGGTGCTTTGAATTTTAAAAGATGGAGAAGCACTGCCTTAAAGGAATGGCATCTAGTCTTACAACTTCGATTGACTGGTCATAATAGCACTTACATAGCAAATGTATAAAGACAACAACAACTTTACGAAAATGACCCCAGGCAATAGGTCAATATACATATCCCAATTTTACAAATGAGGAAACTGCGGCTCAGAGAGGTTGTGTGACTTTTCTGAAGTCTTGCAACACATCACTGTCAAAACCAGGATTTGGGTGGTTGAAGCACAGGACTCAGTTCACCCTTTCCAGTATTCTTAAATTAAAATTGTTGTGACTTCTTACTTTTTTTCCTGAAGTATGGTAGCTGTAATAGAGAAAGCCAAGAGTTTATTCTTCCCGGAATCTGGGAAGTCCTGTAATATTATGTTCCATCTTATATTTGTTTGTCATTTTAGATGTGGATCTTTCTGATATGGTGGAGGACAGGCCTTATGATTATAAATTTGTGACATGGATGATAAAATCCAAGGTAAGAGGTCTCTCTTCTTCAGTGACTCAAACACAGGTTGACATTTTAGAAATATTTGTATCCCTAAAACAAAAATTAAATACTTCTGCACCTGTAAAATGATGGAACCAAAGTGTTTTCAAAATGTAGCTTGGAGGGGGCCAGAGGTTTGACTGTATGTACCGTATGAACTGTGGTACTCTGGTAGCTAAAATCCTGCTAAACACATTGTAAATGCAGCTTGCATGTTGTTTGTATTGTTCTGTTTTGTCCCAGTGATTGCTCTTCTTTCACACACACAACATATCTGTACTGCTGGATGGCAAAGCTGGCATTACTTTGCCAGCAGAAAGAAGGGTTTTTCTGCCACCAGAGGGGAGCTCTGAGTGCAGGGACATTCATAGTTTGGCCAGCAGACCCATGTCATGTGCACTGTGTTGTGATCAAGTCAGTCTAGGCTTAGCAAACAGATGCTAAGCTCAGTGAATGCATTATCAATCTCTGTAGTGAAGATGAACCTGTTGACTTCAGGATTTCAGGTTTAGGTTCTGATGTTTGGTATACAAATTCTGAAATGAGTCCGTTCAGTTCTCATGAAGGAAAGGAGTGTTCTGAAATCAAGGCTGCAAAATTATCTAACTTAAAACTGATTTTATCCTTGTGTGTAGCAAACAGATCATTACATTTCATTTTTCAGAAGCTGTCAGCAATTCCTCTGACAGCATTTTGTGGCCTGGAGACTAAAGAGCAATTTGAGAAATATATACGGTTTTGCTTCATCAAAGTAAGTTTGTGTCTTTCTCTAGAAGTCTGTTTTCACAGTAGTGTTGTTGGCTATTACTGGAGTTTTCATGCTTGTTTAAACTTGAGGATATTTTTGCTGTTAAGAAGCTACGATTATTTTATTTTTTTTACTGATGTTGAAAAAATATGTACTGCTGTTTATTAAAAAAAAACACAGGGATGAACAAATGAAGGAAAAAACCAATATAGAGGTTTACAGAGAAGATTGGACATTATATTCTGTTCTGGTTGAGGGCTCTAACAGCAAAATGTTAGCTTATAATCAAATTAAGCAACAAGAAGTAGCCTTGACTGCCCCTTTGTTTATAGGCTCTTCACCCCAGAAGGAGGTGGACTGGCTGAGAAGGATAAGTTGCCAGGCATAAGCTGATTCTTAGCACATTCCCCTCTCTCTCTCTCTCTACTAACAGTATTCTGTTGACTTACTTTGTTTTGGAAGCTAGCCTTATGTTGAGCAGGCAGGTGACATCAATATACATGCTGTCTTCTAGATAAACTTATTAACTCCAGACTAAAGGAATCTTGCTGGTGTTTAGTGGGATAATATATTCCATCTTGCCTGCCTCATCCTAATCATCTTTTATGTCACTTATAATTAATTTTGTCTGCTTGTGGAAGTTCCACTCACTTATCTTAAATAACTTAAAGTTTAAAAAGAACTTTAATTACAAAGAGGGTGGAGAAGAGCATGCCTAAAAATGAATCAAAATCAGTAAGTTGCAATTTGATTAGCCTGTCATCTCTTCAGTACAACCTTCTTCCTCCTAATGCACCCATTTGAAGCTTTTCTTAGGAAATCAAAAATGATGGGTGGTAGGGACTGTGTCTTTATACTACAGCTTCCACCATTTCTACCGCCTCCAGTAAGTCTTGGAGAACTCTGAAGCTAGAGTAGAAATAGTCCCTTGACCACAGCTGTGTGACATTACTGTGCAAATTGACTTGGAAAATGAACTTGACTAAATGTTTGACATTAGTGTATTGCTAGCTCACCAGTATGCATAAAAGTGTTTTTTAATATAATACCAGTCAAATCAATCTATGGACTGCTGTGTGACTCAAAGCTGTACCTAAATGACAAGACTTGACCAGAATACACACATCTGGAGAGGTGTTTGATCTGCCATAGCATGGTTTTTCTATAGGAGGTTTTTTGTTTTTTTTTTATTTATTAAAAGAACCCCAACCCTGTCTACACAGATTAGTAAACCATGATAGCTTGAATTTAGGTGTCTAGTGGACAAGAAGTGCCTTTGTATGACTAAATACATCAGACATGGCTGCACAACTATATACTTATGTACATTGCATTTTTTGTAATGATGCCAAGGAAAGCCAAGTTGTCTGAAATTTCTTGAGTTGGATTGTGACAAAAATGGCTGAGTTGGGAAATTCTACCTACTGTAATGGTGGCTTTCTGTTTTTGCAGCAAGACAGCACTTTGGATGCAGCAGAGGTGATCCTGAAGAAGTGGAGTAAACAGACAGCTTAATTTTGATTAACAGTGCTCTGACATAAGTATTATATACATTTAAAAAACAGGTTACTTAATAAGCAACTTTGTGCTGTCACTGGCTGTGTAGCTGAAATGGTGATTTATTCAATTCAAATAATGTGATTCAAGGAGTCATTTTCAGTCTTTTCCAAACTGTTGGCTATTTCCCAAAATATACATGGGAGCCTATGCTTTTGAGAAAAATAAAACAAGATTTGCTAGGAAGTTGAAAAAACCCAAAGTGTAAATATTAAGACTTAACAGAAAAAAGAATTGAGGAGCTGCTTCTGATGTAGAAATATGGGAACCTGTGGGAAATAGTAGAATTTGAAAGTAAAACATTGGATTCCATAAACTGCAGTAGTCTGATACAGAGGGAAATTAAGATATGGTAAAGGTTAGGTGGTTTCTATGTCCTTGTGTGGAAGGGTTTTTGTTTGTTCATTTGTTTTGATTTTCTTACACACCAAAATGAAGTTTACACTATTCAATCAATGCTGTTTTTGAGAGATAGGTAACTGTGCTACATACCATTATTTCTGTTTTAATATCCTACAGTTGTCAAATTTTACTATTTGTGAAAGTGCTTGATCTTCAATAAAGTTCTAAAAGTAGCAGATGATGTGTAAGACTTTACCTATACATTCATACATTTAAAAAAAAAAAAAAGCTAGTTCAAAATGCACCTTGACAATCCTTAACTATAGAGTCAATGAAGTAACCTACTCCTGCAGTCCCTTCGCAGTTGTTAACTCTACATCAAAATACATCCTTAAATAAAATCTCATGAAAACTCAAGAGTGGGCAGTTGAGGTTGGTGAAACTTGACTATTTTGGGCTGAGGAAGTGAGAGGCAAATCCTGAAGTGATGAGTTCCCATAGAGAATTCCCACCAGCTTCACCTCTTGCATACACCAGGGAGGTTCTGGATGGTTTCATCATCCCCAAACTGGTTCCCACCTGATTAAAGCAGTCCAGGGTAGCTCTTGGGAAGAGATTGCTGTGTTCTTTTTCCATGACTTTTATATTGGTGCAAGGTAGGGTAGATTTGCACTTTATAGACTAACTAAAAAGACATTTAGACATCCATAAGAACTACTTCACAGTCAGGGCGGCTAGGATCTGGAACCAACTTCCAAAGGAAATGGTGCTTGCTCCTGCACTAGGGGGGACCAGAAGGGTTTGGGGGAGACACTGTTTCCCCTAGCACCCCTGGCATAACAAGGAATAATGGACACAAATTATTGGAGCGTAGGTTTAGATTGGACATCCACAAGAACTACTTCACAGTCAGGGTGGCTAGGAGCTGGAACCAGCTTCCAAGGGAAGTGGTGCTGGCTCCTACCCTGGGGATCTTTAAGAAGAGGCTTGATGTCTACCTGGCTGGACTCAAATGAGTCCAGTTTTTCTCCCGCCCAGGCTGGGGGTCAGACTTGAAGATCTACAAGGTCCCTTCCGACCCTACTTCTATGATTCTGTGATACCCTGGGGGTCTTTAAGAGGAGGCTTCATGCCTACCTGGCTGGAATCATTTGAGGCCAGTTTTTTCTCCTGCCCAGGCAGGGGGTCGGACTTGAAGATCTACAAGGTCCCCTCTGACCCTACTTCTATGATAAATCAGAGGTGTATTAAGCTTCCAGAAGCAGCAGCTTACTTCATTAGATGCTAAGGTGATCTTGTAAGGTAGAGTTTGAACAAGCTTAGTACATATTTGCAAAATATCATCTTCCTTGTTCTGCTTGGGGTTCAGAATCTTAAGGACTACCAGTGTGTCATGGGCTTGAACAAAAAGTGTCTCATCCATAAGTAAATTTACTACCCACAGCTGAGCTAGCAGCAGCTGCCACATTTCCTTGTCAGTTTGTCACCTTGGCCTTGGACACCCATTCTCAACAGCTGGAACCTCCTTCATTGTTCTGTCATCCAATTCTTGACACCATCACAAGAAATTCATCAGCAACCTTTTTTGTTAAAGGAGATGAAGACTGTTACCTTTGTTTTCCATATTGAAAAAGTTCTTGGGAAATAAAATTTGCTGCCCGTGAGTTATCAGATACATCCTGGGGAAATAAAGTCCAGGGAAAGCTACCTCATGTTTCCCAATTCCCACTGTAAATTCTGTCTGGGAGATGTGCAGGAAACTGTAGGACATTTGCCCAGAGAACATTTCAGAAAGATCTCTTCCAGAGTGCTAGTTTGAGCGCAAGGAAAAAAAAAGTATAAGTTTTTCTTCATGCATTTCAGCTTGTAACATGACAAACATGTTATGATATCAGACTGTCTGTATCAGTGTCTTGGCACATGTTATACTTATGGTGTAATTGTGTTCTGCCCACATGGGCTGCAGAGCAAGGCACTTTAAAATGCTGGGTTGCAGGGAGCCAGGCTGAACTAGCAGTTTTTAAGTGTCCTGGGGACATTGAGATGAGGGAGAGATTCCCTGATTCCAAGGTGTCACGGAGTGGGGTCTAGGAGCGGCCGTGATCCCGCGAGCGCCCCCTGCTGTGCCAAGTGAGTGATCCAGCACCCTTGATTCTCGCCCGCCATGTCTTGTTGGTATAATAATTTGATATGGGAGGCTGCCTTAAGATCCCCTTGGTCACCATGTACTGCTAACAACTGCCCCTCCTGTACCAGATGGGGTGACTTGGTGCAACCCTGGCCTTATGGGCTATGCGTGCCTCCTACCTCCCCTTTAGCATGCCCCAAGCCTCGCAGTTGTCCTGGACGTTCTTATGTCTATAAGACCTCGGATGGTCCCTTGCCCTCTCTGGGCTCATCCTGCCCTCTCTGGGCCCTGTCTCGCACACCCTGCCGTCTCCGGGTTCGTACCTGCACGATCGCCCTTCTTCGGACTATTAATGGCGCCAGCCCTGTCCCGGGCCTTCACCGGCTCCTGCGCCCTACTTCAGCTTCATGCTGGCCCCTGCCCTTCTCGGGGCTCCCTGGTGTACACACCCTTCTACGGGCGTTACCCACACTTCCCGCACTCGCGCCCGTGGCTCTCACTGAGCCTGTCCCGTGCTACTCACGCCCATGGCTCTCACTGCCTGCACACCAGCCCTGTCTTGGGCCTTCACCGGCACGGGGCTCAGGTGGCATATAGCCGTGCCTGGCCCCCTGGCCCCTCACCAGGGTCCTATGCCCTCACTGGGCCGAGTACCGCCCTCGCGGGCTGGGGTCTGAACCCCACACACCGCACCACACCGGTGCCAAGACGCCGTGCCTCCCAGGCACTGCTCTGTACTCCAAACAGGGCACCCAGGAACCCCCAGACTACTAGGGAGCTCCTGTGAGGCCTCCTCACACCCCTACAGCCTCACCTGGTCCTCCGGTTATATACACAACAGAACCATACGCCAACCGGCTGTAACAAAACAATAAGCCTACCAGCCATCACATAAAGTCCAGGGCCACCTGGCTCTCTGGCCAAAGCCTCCCGGTCAGGCTTCTCTCCACCCTCACCATAATGCAGTCCTCTGGGTGCTCAGGCTGCACTGCTCAGCTTAGCTCTCCTGCAGAGCTCCTACACTTCAGGCTGCCAGAAGGGAAATGCTAGCCAGGCTCTGGCCTGGCTGTTTATAAGGGCTCGGCCCTGCCCCCTTCTGGTCACATGACCAACCTGGTTGCTCCAGCAACCAGCACCTGAGCTGCCCTGGCAAATTAGCAGAGGCCCTAATCCCTACTTAGGCACGGGGCACCCGAGTGCCCCCGTGACACAAGGTCTCAGTGGCCAGGGATTTCTAAAAGCCATGTCTGCAGCTGGGCTGTCCCAGGGTTATTCTGACAATCAGCTGATTGTCAGACCTTGGCCCAACAGCCCAGGCTCTTCAATCGATCTAGAACTATTGGGGCTGGGTCTGATAATCAGCAGATTGTCACACCTGGCCCTCACAATCTAGGGTCTCAAACTGGACCTGGGAGCATTGGGGCTTTGGGGCCCAGTTGATTGTTGTACCTCCTCTTGACCCAGCCAGGACTGCCAGGGCTCAGTCTGACAATCAAGTAATTAATTATTGAACCTGGCCCCAAGAGCCTCTGGCCTGGAATCTACTGGTGGTTGGGGGTAGCCCTGTGTGTCCAGAACAGAGCCTCCCCTGCCCAATCTGCAGGGTCAGGCTGGGGGCAGCTGAGCAGTGGCTCACTTGGGATCAGAGGAATTTTTTAAAGCCCCATCACAAATATCGCTGTCCTGCCATGCCAGAAATGCATGGCAGGAGGCACGATGTTTGGCATGGGGCATAAAATTCCTTTGATCCCAACTGCACCATTGTTTTAATATCTGCCAGGGTCCTTATACTGGGTCCAAAGCAAAAGGCACGCGCAGTAGAGAATGGGGAGCCTCAAGGCTTACAGCTGTCTTTTTTCACTGCAGTGTCAGTTGTGCTAAAACTAAACAAATGTCCCAGTATGAATGTACCATAAAAAAAGAAAGCATTTTCTCTGTTGTATAGACCAATTCTATATTTTTGTAGTATCTTAATCTAATGATAAAGACTGTATACTGTTGGAATTTTTGCCTATCTTTGAAACGAATGCCTCAGTGCCTTACAGAATTCAGTAATGTTTATAACTTCATATCAACATACTTTAATGAATTTGAATAACTTAGTATAATGTAATACAATTCTAAATGATAGTACTGATGTGGCACATTGTTGTAGATGCTGCTATCCAAAATCTTCAGAAGTTGTATGAAGAGGTAATGATGCGGAAGCTATTGTTCATACAGGAAGCTGTCCTCACTTTGACATCTATAGAAAAACATTTAACTAAATCTATGTAATCTTTCTTTCCTGCTGACAGTTAGTGAAAAGTTGTTGCTGACAGGGATAGACAGAAACTAAAACTACTGTGTTTTGGTATTTATCATTTTTTGGTATTTATCATTCTTATATTCCTTTTATTTCAAAATAAAAACTTAGTTAAAACAAATTTAAGTGTGGCCTGTGTACATCTAATCCATCAGGAGACTGATTAGTAGCATTAGTCACAATTTTACCCCATGGTCAGATTGAAGGACTATGGGGGTTTTTTTTGCCTTCTTCTGTAGCAGGGGTCGTGGCCCTCTACCTGGGATCTCTTGAGCATATATTAACAGCCTTTTATAGAAATAGAACATTGGCTGCTATGTTTCCCCCACTTTAACTGTGGCAGGTTACGGTGCTATGTCTTGTGTTGTGTCAGGGTTGATGGTACTTTTATGAAATAAGTTTAGATTATGGATTTCATAGCTTTCATAGACGTTAGGGCTGGAAGGGACCTTGGAAGATCATCGAGTCCAGCCCCCTGCCCCAGGGACAGGAAGTTAGCTGGGGTCATAGGATCCCAGCAAGATAAACATCCAGATTTCTCTTGAAGGTGTTCAAAGTAGGTGCTTGAACCACCTCCAATGGCAGGCTATTTCAGACCTTGGGGGCTCAGACAGTAAAGAAGTTCTTCGTTATGTCCAGCCTGAAACTGTCTTGCCAGAGTTTATAACCGTTCGACCTTGTAATCCCTTGGGGCACTCTGGTGAACAAACATTCTCCCAGATCCTGGTGAACACCCCTTATAAACTTAAACGTGGCCATTAGATTGCCCCTGAGCCTGCGCTTTTCCAGTCTGAAGAGTCCCATAGCTCTCAGCCTCTCATCATAAGGTCTGTTTTCCTGACCTCTGATCGTGTGTGTGGTTCTTCTCTGGACTCTCTCAAGCTTCTCCACATCCTTTTTGAATTGTGGAGCCCAAAACTGGATGCAGTACTCCAGCTGCGGCCTCACCAAGGCAGAGTACAATGGGAAGATGATGTCCTGGGATTTGCTTGAGAAGCATCTATGGATGCAAGCCAGTGTTTTGCTCCCTCTACTAGCCGCAGCATCACATTGAAGTCTCATGTTCATCTTGTGGTCAGTCATGACCCCCAAGTCCCTCTCGTCTGCCCTGCCGAGCCTATAAGCATTCTGCAGGTTTTTCCTCCCAAGGTGGAGAACCTTGCATTTTTCAGTGGTAAACACCACCAGGTTCTTGTCTGCCCATTTCCTGAGCCTGTCAAAGTCAGCCTGGATTGCACCCCCTGTCCTCAGGTGTGGATGCTTTACCCCAAAGTTTGGTATAATTGGCGAACTTAGCCAGTCCACTTCTGACGCCAGTGTCCACATCATTAATGAAGATGTTGAACAATATACGTCAATACAACATCAATCTCCTGTCCCTTGTCTAGGTGATAGGTCACCTGGTCGTAAAAGGAAATAAGATTGGTCAAGCACAACCTACCTGCAACAACCCTGTGCTGGCTATCCCTCAGGATGTTGCCATTAGCTAGTCTGTTAAGAATGGCCTCTTTGATAATCTTTTCTAAACCTTCCCCGGGATAGAGGTCAGGCTGATGCGCCTGTAGTTTGCTGGATCCATTTTCCTCCCATTCTTGAAGATAGGCACCACATTGGTCTTCTTCCAATCTTCAGGCAGTTCACCAGAGTGCCACGAGCTCTCGAAGATCCATGCTAGGGGCTGGGCTATGATGCAGGTCACCTCCTTGAGTACCCTGGGGGGTAGATTGTCAGGGCTGGCTGACTTGAAGGTGTCCAGCCTTTCAAGGTGTTCCTTCATGAGGTCAGCATTGATGGAGGGCCAGGAATCACCCTTACCTGGGCGTCCCATGGGACTTGTGAAAGACCAACGCGAAGTACCCATTTAGTAAGTTGGCTTTTTCCCGGGCGTTGGTCGTCAGTTCTCCCTTCTGGTTTAGCAGGGGTCCAATGTTGCTCTTGCTTTTCCCCCAGCTCCCCACATATCTAAAAAAGAACTTTTTATTGTCCTTGATGCTTGTGGCCAATTGGAGTTCCATCGCAGCCTTAGCTTTCCGGGTTCACTCCCTGCAGGTCCGGACCAGTGCAGTATATTCCTCCTTGGAGGTGGATCCAGTCTTCCATCCTTTGTAGGTCTTTCTTTTTAGATTCAGGAGGTCCGCTAGTTCCTTGCTGAGCCAAAGGGCTGCTGTGCCCTCTTGCTGCCTTTCCTCTGAGATGGAATAGACTTAGCTCGTGCTAGGATGGCTCCCTTGAGGAGCAACCATTCTTCCTGGACTCCCCTCCCCTTGGGGTCGTGGTCCCTTAGGGCCTCACCAACAAGCCTCCTGAGCTTGTCAAAGTCAGCCCTCCTGAAGTTGAGGACCTCTGTCCTGCTGACTGACTTGCCAGTTTTGGGCGGATGGTGACGGTGATCAGCTCATGGTCAGTGTCACCCAGTTTCCCTTCGATCGTTAGGTCATTGATTAGGTCATCTCCAGTTGCCAGTACCAGGTTGAGCAGCATTTTACCTCTCGTTGGCCCGTAGACTTCTTGCGTCAGATAGAGCTCATCCACGCACATGAGAAAGCTTTGCGACGGTTCGGATTTGGCCTAGCGTTCTTCACACGAGATGTCCAGGTAGTTGAAGTCTTCCATGACAACCATGGACCGGAAGCATGCGGCCTCAGCCAATTCCCTGGCAAACTCCTGGTCAAGCTCTTGATTCTGGGAGGGAGGTCTGTAGTAGACTCCCACCATCGTGTCCCCTGTGCCGTGTTCCCCATGGATTTTAACGCAGAGGGTCTCCAGTCGTCCACCCTGAGTGCCAATGTTGTCTTGCAGGGACGCATAGCTCTCCTTGACATAGAGAGCCACACCCCCACCCCTTTTGTCCACTGGATCCCTCCTGTACAGGGTGTAGCCATCTATACCCGTGGTCCAGTCATGGGTGGAGTCCCACCAGGTCTCCATTATCCCTATGACATTGTAATTATTTGTGTTGAGCAGGAGGACAAGTTCCTCCAGTTTATTCCCCAAGCTCCTGGCATTCGTGTACAGGTACTCAAGTGTCCCCTTGGGGGGCCCTAGCCTTGCCCACAGATTGTTCCAGGGCTGGAGCAGGGGTGAGCTCCCTTAAGTGCCTTGGCCTGCTGGCTTTGCAAGGGTTGCTCTGTGGGCCCTCCACCTCCTGGGGAAGAAGGGCCTGGCAGTAGGAATTGATCTCCTGCTCTCAGTCCCTGATGGCACGCAGTGTCCATCTGCGGTGTGCCGCTGGTAGGCCAGCTACGGCTGGGAATACCTACCCAAGGGGGCTCACAGGCAGGGCCCTGGGCTCTCCCGCTCACCCTCCTGCGCAAACTCTGCGCTAACTTGTGCACTGGGCAGACAAGTGCACCTGTTTGCATGGTCTGTTCGTGAGGCTCTTGTTGTGTGACTCCCTGGGGGGCTGGGCAAAATAGGGACCGGGGCGGGGCGAGACCCTCCTCGGCTCCTAATTAGCCACCTCCCTGCAGCTGAGCTGGGCTAGTCCCTTCCCGCCATGGGCCCTGCTTACCTTCAGCTGCTGTTCTACTCTGCAGCTGTTGGGGGTCGTTGGGGGACTTTGAGGTGCGGGGGTGTGATGGGCTTTCACCCGTGCGTCTTGTGCCGCTCCCTAAGCCTCTCTTGTTTAGGATGGTTTGGCTAGGGATGATTGTGCTTCAGGCAGGGTGTTGGACAGCCACTATGTGATCTCTGGAAGTTCCTTCCAAACCAGGGACAGGCAAAATATGGCCCACAGGCCAGATCCAGCCCCCTGAGCACTTTCATTTACCCTGTGGGGCCCCCTAACAAATTGTGCCATGCCCAGCCCTTTTGCCCACAAGGGTGGGAGTGAGGTGTCCACATGTACATGCAGCCCCAAAATGTACCCTATTGCCTGGCTCCCACCCTAATGGGCAGAAGGGTCTGGACGGCCAGCATGCACTTCTGTGCAAGGGTGCTGCTGCCACTGCTGCAGCCCCCAGTGAACTGCTCTGCTTCTCCAGTCTCCTGCTTGCTCTGGGCAACAGAGTAGGAAGCAGTGGAGGTGGGGCTACAGCTGGGTGGGAGCATGGGGCTGGGGCTGGTGGCAATGTGGAGCCCTTGCCCAAGGGGAAGGGGTGGCAGCAGCGTGGAGCTAGGGTGGGCAGTGTGAGGGAGAGTGGTGGGGGTGTGGGGACCCCTTCACATTCCCTCCCCCCTCCCCCCCTATGGCATGCATCCCCTGCAGACGGTGCAGCAGCAGTGGGGGGGGGGGG